CATTCTCAAACAATGTTCTGCTTTTACCCCTATTGAAAGGTTTAAAACAAAACAACACGACACAAACATGATAACTTTCTCCATATTGGAAGGCATTGTTTTTATTTTAGTATACCTTCAAAAAGTGACTCTATATTTTTTATCACCAATCTCTGCTGGATATTCACTTTCTGCTTCAATATTTATTAAATGTTTATAATTTAAAGATTCATATGTAATGCTTTGGAGGGATCAAAATGTATTAACTGTGTTGGCACTGTCTATCAGTCCCCTGTAGATGGCATGGTACTCTGTCTATATTACGTCTCTACTTAGCAAGTTAAACGGTTGAGTAGGTGAATACAGAAAATCATTGGTTCTATTTAACAGGGTATGAGGTATATTTCAAAATGTATTACCAGGGCATTTATAGTTTTATTGGTTAGGTGTAAGTCAAGTCCTGTGCAATGCTTTAACCTTATCTTTATCAAATGATCCATAAAGGGACCACCCTGAACATTTCTCAGAATACTTTTTCCACCACTTACGTGTGGGAGTGAAAATTGTAAATTATTATAATTGTTTCTATTGTTTCTTCATCAGATCTCTTGTAACCCATTATACTCAATATTATGTTACTTTATCTGTAGTAACCCATTATACATTAGTGTTACATCTGAAATTCATCCGCTACACCAGTGTTCTATTCATACAGAGGTTTAAATATTCCCTCTAGTGTTCTATTTAACAGCATATTCAGGAATAATACTCCCTTCTTTAATATCTCCATAGAGAATCCCTTTATAACGTCATAAATCTTTAGCAACGACCACAGTGCAGCAGCCTGAGAGGTACACATATCATGTTCTCAAGGAAATCTCAGTGTCCGGGGGCATCAATGAACTTCATTGTTCAGCCCTTACCCATCTCAGCTGTTACCCTGTCAAACTTTTCAATTGCTTCTCCTGTCAGTGCTCACTACCTGTAGATCGATGGGCAGTGGTGGACAGAACCCCTAGATAAGGTTATAGATCTAAAACTCAGCTCACACAGAACTGGTTGGGGCATTCATTATTTTCCCTATATGACTATACTTAGGTATTCACACCCACACCACTCCATGTGCATCTATGCACCATATGTTCAACGGTTCAAGCCTCCCAGAGACAATGGTCCCAGACCACATAGACAATTCAGAAATGCTATAGACTGCTACTTCCTATATATATATATATATATATATATATATATATATATATATACAGTGGGGGAAAAAAGTATTTAGTCAGCCACCAATTGTGCAAGTTCTCCCACTTAAAAAGATGAGAGAGGCCTGTAATTTTCATCATAGGTACATGTCAACTATGACAGACAAATTGAGAAAAAAAAATCCAGAAAATCACATTGTAGGATTTTTTATGAATTTATTTGCAAATTATGCTGGAAAATAAGTATTTGGTCACCTCCAAACAAGCAAGATTTCTGGCTCTCACAGACCTGTAACTTCTTCTTTAAGAGGCTCCTCTGTCCTCCACTCGTTACCTGTATTAATGGCACCTGTTTGAACTTGTTATCAGTATAAAAGACACCTGTCCACAACCTCAAACAGTCACACTCCAAACTCCACTATGGCCAAGACCAAAGAGCTGTCAAAGGACACCAGAAACAAAATTGTAGACCTGCACCAGGCTGGGAAGACTGAATCTGCAATAGGTAAGCAGCTTGGTTTGAAGAAATCAACTGTGGGAGCAATTATTAGGTCTTGTAAGACATACAAGACCACTGATAATCTCCCTCGATCTGGGGCTCCACACAAGATCTCACCCTGTGGGGTCAAAATTATCACAACAACGGTGAGCAAAAATCCCAGAACCACACGGGGGACCTAGTGAATGACCTGCAGAGAGCTGGGACCAAAGTAACAAAGCCTACCATCAGTAACACACTACGCCACCAGGGACTCAAATCCTGCAGTAACAGACGTGTCCCCCTGCTTAAGCCAGTACATGTCCAGGCCCGTCTGAAGTTTGCCAATGACCATCTGCATGATCCAGAAGAGGATTGGGAGAATGTCATATGGTCAGATGAAACCAAAATATAACTTTTTGGTAAAAACTCAACTCGTCGTGTTTGGAGGACAAAGAATGCTGAGTTGCATCCAAAGAACACCATACCTACTGTGAAGCATGGGGGTGGAAACATCATGCTTTGGGGCTGTTTTCCTGCAAAGGGACCAGGACGACTGATCCGTGTAAAGGAAAGAATGAATGGGGCCATGTATCGTGAGATTTTGAGTGAAAACCTCCTTCCATCAGCAAGGGCATTGAAGATGAAACGTGGCTGGGTCTTTCAGCATGACAATGATCCCAAACACACCGCCCGGGCAACGAAGGAGTGGCTTAGTAAGAAGCATTTCAAGGTCCTGGAGTGGCCTAGCCAGTCTCCAGATCTCAACCCCATAGAAAATCTTTGGAGGGAGTTGAAAGTCCATGTTGCCCAGCGACAGCCCCAAAACATCACTGCTCTAGAGGAGATCTGCATGGAGGAATGGGCCAAAATACCAGCAACAGTGTGTGAAAACCTTGTAAAGACTTATAGAAAACATTTGACCTGTGTCATTGCCAACAAAGGGTATATAACAAAGTATTGAGAAACTTTTGTTATTGACCAAATACTTATTTTCCACCATAATTTGCAAATAAATTCATAAAAAATCCTACAATGTGATTTTCTGGATTTTTTTTTCTCATTTTGTCTGTCATAGTTGACGTGTACCCATGATGAAAATTACAGGCCTCTCTCATCTTTTTAAGTGGGAGAACATGCACAATTGGTGGCTGACTAAATACTTTTTTCCCCCACTGTATATATATATATATATATATAAAACAACACCGTGTTCAATAATAATCTTATAGATGGAAAAACTCTCTCACACAGAACTGGAAATCTCAGCTCACACAGAACTGGAAAACTCAGCTCACATTCACACTGGAGCTAGTCCCCTGACAGCTCTCATTCACTGAGTACATTATAGCTAAATTGCAATCTCTTATTATCCAAATTTCAATCAGCTTATTATCCCTATTTCAATCTTGTTATCAAAATTTCAATCAATTTATTATCCAAATTTCAATCAGCTTAATATGTCATATCTCACAATCACACAACTTTCACATCCACATTCACTTAGTACTAATCTCCATTATTACCCATGTGCATCTTCAACGATTCTCTTGTCGTTACTTGCTATGCACCATATGTATCTCCTGCACATATTTAATAAAACCACGTATTCAGAATACCTCGTGTTATTTGTAGTGGCTGCAGACCACGTAGACATTTCTTATAAATGCCTACAGATAGCTGTCAGCGGGGCTTTCCATGGTGCCGTTACGCCCTCGCTCTAGTCTTCTCATAAAACCGTCTCTCTATAAGACTATGGGTACCTTTTTATGTGTTAGTCGCCTTGATTTTCCCTCACGCTTCATAAAATGCACCACCGGTTTTCCTCGCAGACCCCCACTGGAAAGCTCCACAGGCAGAATCAATCATCCTGTTCGTTGACGCCAAATTGTTGTGGAAATTCTTACACATGGACACTCAAAGGAAATCTTAAATGAATCATTGTTTATTGTCAGCGCGCTGGAGAGGTTCCAACAAACTTGATGCATCATAGTGAACGTCTGTCAGGAGCTCTAACAGGGCAGTCCCGTTTAGTTCCCTTATATACTGGATACAGTCATGTTACATAGGCATAGTTCATAGGGTTGGTTTAAAATTTCCTACACAATGTAGTATTTAAGAAGGGAGCCCTGCTAAACAAGATCAGCAAGCAATTACACATTAAGAAGTTAGACACAAATACTTAAATCAAGGCAGGAGCACAGAAAAAACTAAAATACAACTATAAAACACAAACACATTCCTCTGTGAAGAGATCCTCCACCAACACTGAATTGCTCAAAATAGATTTCGCACCATCTGCTCATCTGAAAGTCCCATGATGGAGATTACAGCGATTGAACTAATCCCCACTAGAAAAACAGATTATGCCAGAGATTGTTTTGTACGTGTCCTTTACCATTGTTTCATTCATTCATAATTCAATAATTTCATTGGTTCCACCTTGTCCGTACCATTTCAATACCAGCAGTCCATCAACCTTGTCCTACACACACACACACACACAGCTTTAATTTTCTCTTGTACATACGTCAGATCTTAATTTGATCACCCTGTTGCAGGAGAACAGGACATTTAAAACTTGCACTGTATTTGAGGTTTAATAATAATTTGGAAGTTTGTAATTTGCATTTTGTAATTTCGGACTTGCTTTTCCCTGCTGTTGCAAATTGGCTCAAATTAAGATCCTACATCTGTATAAGATGTAATACTGAGTGACGTCATCAGCCCTATTAATCCGTCCATGTACATGCTACTGTATGTTGTATGAGAATAGCATGCACAGGGAAATTAATGGTGGTACAATCCACAGAGAATATCAGAATCTGGTTTTCTCTTCAACTCAAATTCAAGTACAGAAATTAGTTTGTAATTTTCCATGAAAATCATAGAAATGTATAGCCTATTATATACACTACATGACCAAACATCTCCTTCCAAAATCATGGGCATTAATATGGAGTTGGTCCTCCCTTTGCAGTTTGGAACTCGGTAGTGAGTGTTGGGACAGATGATTTTTACGTGCTTCAGCACTCGGCGGCTGTCCAATTCTGTGAGCTTGTGTGGCTACCACTTCGCGGCTGAGCCGTTGTTGCACCTAGACATTTCCACTTCACAATAACAGCTCTAGCAGGGCAGAAATATGACAAACTGACTTGTTGGAAAGGTGGCATCCTATGATGGTGCCACGTTGAATGTCACTGAGCTCTTCAGTAAGGCCATTCTACTGCCAATGTTTGTCTATGGAGATTGCATGGCTGTGTGCTCGATTTTATAGGCCTGTTAGCAACGGGTGTGGCTGAAATAGTCGAATCCACTCATTTGAAGGGGTGTCCACATACTTTTGTATATATTGTGTATTTTTGGAAAGATACTTAAGGGATGAACACAGGACAAACATACAGAAGTTAAAAAGAGCTATGTGGCATACCTACAGCTCAAAAGGGCACATGCTGTACATTGTTCTATACAATTTGTGATTATGAGAATATGACGACTGTAGTTGACTCTTGTGAAGGAATGTATTACCCCTTCCACTCTTCCACTCTCTCATCTTCTCTTCATTCCCGTGACATCATTTTTACAAACTCTGCAAGATAGGGAGAGAGAAAAAATAGGAGATCTGACTTGCATTGAGAGGAGGTAACTGGAGCAGCTTAGAGAGGGGTCTCCTGGCACTCAGAAAGATGAGATCAAGTCACTGGAAACTTATTGAGCATAGATGAGAAATGGAAAATGTTCGACAGCTTCAAATATTCGACATTCACAAATATTTAATTGAGCTCCGCTAGTGAGTGTGAATGGACTGTTTGAGATAAATGATGTCAAACAAGAGTTTTCCCTAGTACCTTTCTGTTTGACACGGCATCCATTCTGAATACCACTCATTGGATTTATATGTGATTGTAATTCGAAGAGTAATATGAAGTGTTTCATAAAATGGTTTAAGTATCAAACACAAATAAATATTCATATATACCTTCGTCATGTATGAAAACGGTCAATTTAAAAACTATTACTAATAAGCTGACCAGTTCTAACATTTTTGAATTTGTGTGCGTGTGAGTGTGGCGGCAGACATACGTGCATGTGTGTGTATATTTGGGGTTGTTTTCGGTGTGTGTCTGCGTGTGTATTTGTGGTTGCACGTGTGAGATCATAAATGGATGTGAATGTTTGTGTCCTTGTCTCACCCTCAAAATCAACTGTGCCATCTCCGTTGTTGTCAGCCTCCCTGACCAGAGCCTCAATCTCTTTTCTGTTGGTATTTTCTCCCAGTAGCTTAGTCATGGCGTGCCTCAACTCATCGATGGTAATTGATCCGTCACCATCCATGTCAAACTATAACCGGGAAGGAGAGATAAAAGAGATGTCGTCTTCTATAAAGCTAAAACTAACCCACATGGAGAGGGTGGAGAGATAATTATCCATATAAAACTATTTGAAAGGGAGATAGGAGAGAAATAACCTATCAAAGTGTGTGTATGTGTGTGCATGAATGTGTGAGTGCATACATGTGGGTACCTGGTCATCAGGGATGGTAATAGATGGAAAGAGAACAACAAATTACAAGGATAATCATCTGGATGGTTCACCTCTTTAAAAGCGTCTTTCAGCTCCTTTAGTCCAATCATACCCGCAGTCTCAGCCAGTAGTTTAGGGGCCATCAGTTCCACAAAATCCTCAAAGTCCACTCTCCCTCCCACTGTGAGAGAGGGTGGTGGAAATCAAAATCATTACATTAAAGAAATCCCATTGTCTTATACAGTAATAGGATTGGTGTTGCAGTGTAGATGACCACTGTGTTACATGTTGTGGAGTTATGTTACTGTGACAAAGATTGATAGATGTGATCTTTGGGTAGTGTAAATTGTAAAATAATGGTACATATTTCATTCTTAATGTAACCTCCAGAGATGGGAAAACTTGTTTTTTGTTAATTTGAACATTTGCTCTGTATGACAATGTTAAAATGTGCCTTTTATTTTGGTAACACTTTACTTGACATCCAGTGTCATAACATGTTATGACACAGTCATAACCTGTCATAATATGGTCATAACACTGTCATGACCCATATATTTACACCTGTTGTGAAATATATTGCGTTATTTTATGTCTGGTTATGACACCTACATAAGAGTGTCAAAACCCACATTTATTCAAATTAGTTTTTTCCCTGCCAAGAAGTTTCGTTTGAAAGTTTGTTTCTTAAATCCTTTGTTGTTCTTGTAATTAATTCTTTACAGTCATATTTTCTTCATCATATTTTAAATACCTTATAGAAAATAGACTTTATGTCATGAAGCATTATGACAATCCTGTGTCACTTTACTTGGACTAAGAAAATACACTTTCGTAACACTGTCAAGAAGCGTTATGACCATTATAATCAAATAAGCCAGATAGGCCTATCACGTACATCAGTCATCAGTCAAAAAGAGGGTGTCTTGTCCTGCTCCTGAAGTCTGCTCCTGCATTCATCCCAGTCACCAGCAACAGAGCATTGGGGTTGGTGCAAGTCTAGCATCAATGTGTTCGCAATTACTATGATCATTGAATATGGTAATATGGACTTTTTCCACATTTTATTACGTTACAGCCTTATTCTAAAATGGATTAAATAGTTTTTTCCCCTCGTCAATCTACAGTACACACAATACCTCATAATGACAAAGCAAAAATAGGTTTTTTAATTTTTTGCATATGTATTAAAAATAAAAGACTGAAATTATACATTTGCATAAGTATTCAGACCCTTTACTCAGTACTTTGTTGAAGCACCTTTGGCAGTGATTACAGCCTCCCCAATTGCTCCGTTTGGCACACCTGTATTTGGGGAGTTTATCCCATTCTTCTCTGCAGATCCTGAAGCTTTGTCAGGTTGGATGGGGAGCGTCACTGCACAGTTATTTTCAGGTCTCTCCAGAGATGTTAGATCGGGTTCAAGTCCGGGCTCTGGCTGGGCCACTCAAGGACATTCAGAGGCTTGTCCCGAAGCCACTCCTGCGTTGTCTTGGCTGTGTGCTTAGGGTCGTTGTCCTGTTGGAAGGTGATCCTTTGCCCTCGTCTGAGGTCCTGAGCAGGTTTTCATCAAGGATCTCTCTGTACTTTGCTCCGTTCATCTTTCCCTTGATCCTGACTAGATGGTGCCAGGTGGCGCTTGGCATTCAGGCCAAAGAGTTCAATCTTGGTTTCATCAGACCAGAGAATATTGTTTAGGTGCCTTTTGGCAAACTCCAAGCGTGCTGTCATGTGCCTTTTACTGAGCAGTGGCTTCCGTCTGGAGTTTTTTGGTACCCTTCCCCAGATCTGTGCCTCGAAATAATCCTGTCTCGGAGCTCTACAGACAATTCCTTCAACCTCATGGCTTGGTTTTTGCTCTGACATGCACTGTCAACTCCAATCAAGTTGTAGAAACATCTCAAGGATGATCAATGGAAACAGGATGCACCTGAGCTCAATTTCGAGTCTCATAGCAAAGGGTCTGAATACTTATGTAAAGAAGAAGGTATTTCTGTTTAATATTTTTAATACATTTCTAAAAACCTGTTTTTGCTTCGTCATTATGGGGTATTGTGTGTAGATTGATGAGGATTTTTTAAAAATGTAATCAATTTTAGAATAAGGCTGTAAAGTAACAAAATATAGAAAAAGTCAAGGGGTCTGAATACTTTCTGAATGCACTGTAGGTGTCATAACCAGCCATAAAATAACTACCGTGGTAGGTTTCGTGGGTATTTAAACTCTTATGCCATAAAATAACACAATATATGTCACAACAGGTCTAAACAGATGTGTCATGACAGTGTTATTACCATATTATGTCATGGTTATGACCATGTCGTAACGTGTTATGCCTCTGGGTGTCAAAAAGGGTAATAAAAGGTGGGAATTAAAGTAACCGGGTTGAAGTTTATTTTAAATCAGCCATAACTCCCCTTGCGACAGGGGGAATGGAAGCTTGTTGTGTGCAACAGGGAGGGGCAATTGATTGCATGCTTCATGTAATAAATAAATATCATGTCTAGCCTATCTATCCATAGGTAAGAGGGTTGATGTGTTATGCTCAACTCACTCAGTTTTCCACCACAAAACACCAGAAAAAGGCCAAAAAGAGTGGAACCAGCTCACCAGCTCACCTGCTTTTACACTATGATTTGACTATTAGATGTTCATTGTTTCTTTTGAAAAAATAATTTAGAAATGAATCTTTTTACAATATAAAAACGAGAGATCCGTTCACGTGACAGAGGGACAAACTTAAATGAATCACTAATCACACGAAATACAGTAAATAATCATGAACAAAGTAACAAGGGCTTTACAATGATAATGAAAACTTGGGGAAATTGTTGGGGAAATGCAGGTTTCAGACAATCTAAAAGACCTGTGTAATGATCTAAACCTAACCCAGCTGGTGACTAAGCCTACAAGGCCCAACCCTAAAGATCCTTCAAAGTCAAACTCTGATTGATCTTATTCTAACAAATACACCAGATAAATATGTTTCTACTGGTGTCTTCAACCAATATATTAGTTACCATTGCCCAGTTGTTTGTGTTAGAGATGTGAGATTACAAAAATCTAAGCCTCGTGTCATCACAAAGAGGAACTTTAAAAACTTCAGTGAACAAGCTTTTTTACATTATCTTTATTTTAGTGACCTTAATTGTATTTCAGCTATCCCTGAACCTGATTTAGCTTTCAGCCTTTTGCAGATGCCTTCAATACTATTGTGGATAATCATGCTCCCTTCAAAAAACGAAGGGTTAAAGGTAGGTTTAATGCCTGGTACACTCCGGAATATTTCAGAAGTCTTGAATCCATGGTAAATGTACAACTTCGCTCTTTTTTATCTGAGAAATGTATTTTGAATGTAAACCAATCAGGGTTTAGGCCTGGGCATAGCACTATTACAGCAACCACTTTAGTGGTCAATGATCTTGTCAATGCTTTGGACACTAAAATTAAATGTGGTGCTTTGTGTGTGGACTTGTCAAAAGCTTTTGATTCTGTTGATCATGCTATTTTATTGAATACTGTAAGTTGTCTTTGATAGTCCTGAGCTCTGACGCCTGTTCATGGTTTCATGATTATCTTAGTGACAGAACTCCGGCCATAGTGATTGATGGGGTTAAGTCTGAATTTCTTGAAGTGCATAAAGGTGTACCATGGGTTGATTTTCTAAACTTCATCTATGTGCGGATGATACTATTACGTATGCTATTGCCCCAATTGTTAATCTGGCTGTGTCAAAACTACATAAACGATTTTATAACTATGCAGGAATCCCTTGCTGAAACTTGTGCTTAATACATGCAAAATGAAATTCATGTTGTTTTTAAACTCTCGTAAGACTGTTTCAGATTAATTACATGTTCACTCATTAGATGGTTCTCCAATTGAACGCGTTCTCGCATATACATTGTAAATACTCAGGCATTTGGATTGATATGGATTTGACATTTAAAAACCATGTAGATGAGCTAGTTAAGAAGCTAAGATTTAAAGTTGGCTTTTCTACAGAAACAGATCATGCCTTTCTCTAAGCAGTAGGAAACCTTTTAATCTGTTCTTGATTATGGTGATATTATTTATCAAAGTGCAGCTGCTACTACTGTTAAACCTTTGGACGCCATCTACCATAGTGCCCTTTGTTTTGTTACAGGTGACAGTTTTGATACTCATCACTGTATCAAAAGGTTGGCTGGCCTTTGTTAAAGACCCATAGATCTTTACATTACTCCCTTTTTGTTTACAAGGCCCAACTTCATAAACTTCCATCTTATCTAACTTTGCTGTTGAAGTATAGACACCTGAGTTGCCTAAGCTGTTCACAGTATTGGTTAACTCGAGGTTCCGAGGGTCTCCACCGAGCTAGGTAAATCTGCTTTTAGTTTTAATGCATCGAATCTGGAACAAAATTCAAAATGCATTTCATCTTAATGTTCTGGTGTCGTTTGGGCAGTTTAGAGTATTGATTAGGGAATTATTTGTGGAGGAATGTAGCAGTTTTTCTGGGTGATTTGTGATGATTTACTTGTGCTTCCCATGACTGTGTTTTTGTATTTTAAGGTGTATAATATGTATATTTGTGTTGTATTGTGCAGGGCACATTTGAAAAAGAGACCTATGTCTCAATATGTCTTCCCTGGTAAAATAAAAGTAAAATAAATAAAGAAAGAAGTGGGTTAAAATCTTCCTGTAAGTCGGAAAAACATGAGGGACGTCAAAATGCTATTTAGCAAGTCCTTATTCATATTTCAAATCTGATTTATAAAATATTCCTGTGGTATATATAAAAGGGCACTTCATTTAGTATAACAGGCTTTTAAAATTCAATATTGGTGCACAATTTCTACTAAAAATATCACAGGGATGCAAAAGGCACTCCATTCGTGGAACGACACAGATAGGTACAGAGGGAGACGGACGTCCTGACAAAGTGACTTACAGTTCATGTTTATGTTCTGGCTGAGTTCAATAAGCTCCATCTCAGTGGGCATGTACCCCATTGTTCTCATCAAGTTCCCCAGATCTTTACAGCAGATCAGTCCGTCCTTGTCCTTATCAAACTCTGCAAAGGCCTCACGCAACTCTGGATCAGGGGAGCGAGCCAGAAAGATTTAGTGAAGATGACAACGTTATTTGGATCATGGGGCTGGCAATACCATGGTTGTGGGTTCAAGTCCAACATCGATCTTAACTAGGGATAATGTGGGATAACTTTAAGGTGATATGATGAAAGGGTCTAATCTAAATAACTGAATGATCAATCTATCAAAGAGGGAATGCTGTCTGCAAAGTTGCAGAAATAGTATTTGACTACTCAGGCAATCACTCGTTAGAAATTCATTTAAAATCAATATATACAGTGCATTCAGAAAGTATTCAGACCCCTTGACTTTTTCCACATTGTTACGTTACAGCCTTATTCTAAAATGGATTAAATAAAAATAATCCACATCAATCTACACACAATGATGACAAAGCGAAAACAGAAATACCTCATTTACATAAGTATTCAGACCCTTTCCTATGAGACTCGAAATTGAGCTCAAGTGCATCCTGTTTCCATTATTCATCATTGAGCTGTTTCTAGAACTACACATTCAATTGATTGGACATGATTTGGAAAGGCACCTGTCTATATAAGGTCCCACAGTTGACAGTGCATGTCAGCGCAACAACCAAGCCATGAGGTCGAAGGAATTGACCGTAGAGCTCAGAGACAAGATTGTGTCGAGACACAGATCTGGGGAAGGGTACCAAAACATTTCTGCAACATTCAATTCTGCAGTCCACAAGAACACCTCCATCATTGTTAAATGGAAGAAGTTTGGAACGACCAAGACTCTTCCTAGAGCTGGCGAAGGTTCACCTTCCAACAGGACAACGACCATAAGCACACCGCCAAGACAACGCTGGAGTGGCTTCGGGACAAGTCACTGAATGTCCTTGAGTGGCCCAGCAAGAGCCCGGACTTGAAACCCATTGAACATCTCTAGAGAGACCTGAAAATAACTGTGCAGCGACGCTCCCAATCGAACCTGACAGAGCTTGAGAGGATCTGCAGAGAAGAATGGGAGAATCTCCCCAAATACAGGTGTGCCAAGCTTGTAGCGTCATACCCAAGAGTACTTGAGGCTGTAATCACTGCCAAAGGTGCCTCAACAAAGTACTGAGTAAAAGGTCTGAAAACTTATGTAAATTAGATATTTCCATTTTTAATACATTTGCAAACATTTCTAAAAACCTGTTTTTGTTTTGTCATTATGGGGTATTTATTGTAGATTGATGAGGGGAAAAAACAATTTAATCAATTTTAGAATAAGACTGCAACGTAACAAAATGTGGAAACAGTCAATGCACTGTATATATAGATAGATACTTTTTTTTACAGTTAGCATTTTGGAGTGATTTGCAAAACTGTATTACAATATTTGGTAATAGTGACCCAGGCATTCAAATGCTCCAGGATGGAAATGCCTTTAGAATCTGAGTTGAGAAAGTTCAGAGTAACATAGGGAGGCAAACTTATTTTCTCAAGAAGAGAAATCTTACCTTCTATTTCATCATCTGCTAGTGATCTGGTCTGCAAAACAATTCAATAGTTATTTTATTAATTGCTCTCCTGGGGCCTCGTGAACAAGTGCCCCGCCTGGAAAACACCCTCCATTCACCTTTTATGGTAACAAAAATGACTTCATTTTCTATATCATTTTGAAATGTTGGAACTGGGCCATGTCAGTTTCTAAAATAATAATGTGCCATTTAGCAGACGCTTTTATCCAAAGCGACTTACAGTCATGCGTGCATACATTTTTACGTATGGGTGGTCCTGGGGATGGAACCCACTACCCAGGCGTTACAAGCGCCATGCTCTACCAATTGAGCTACTGTCACGATCGTCGTAAGGAATAGACCAAGGCGCAGCGTGATGAACGAACATGGTTAAACTTTATTATCTTAAGTGATAATAGACCACAATAACCAAAACAAGAAACGACTCGTGTAGTCCACGGTAACTATGACCAACATGGAACAAAAACCCACAAACACAAAGGGAAAACAGACAGTTTAAATATGGCTCCCAATCAGAGACAACCAACGACAGCTGACACTCGTTGCCTCTGATTGGGAGTCACTCTGGCCAACATAGAAATAAACAAAACAGAAATGAACACACCCTGGCTCAACATATAGAGTCCCAGAGCCAGGGTGTGACAGCTACAAAGGACCACAAAGAAAGAGCATTCGAAAATTATATCACATTTCTGTAGAGATGTGGGCGGACTGTTTTCATCTTTTGCAGTGACTTTTTCAAACAAGGCCGTGCATTCTGTATGATTGATTGCCTATTCGAACAATTTAAAAAGTAAATGCAAAATTGTTGTTCAACAGCCCACACTATTCAAAAGACACATTGTTGTTCAATATTTTGTTCATTAATAGATAATTGTGTTTCTATCTCCTGTCTTGGTATAGGCTCTGAGATTAAGACACATTGTTGTTCAATATTTTGTTCATTAATAGATAATTGTGTTTCTATCTCCTGTCTTGGTATAGGCTCTGAGATTAAATAGGCTATGATGTTGCGCTCCTAGCATGCTTGGCTATTAAACGAGTGATGGATAAATGGTAGCCTGATGTTTGTGTTTAGCTGGAATAACCCAGTCATGTCAGAAAATATTATTATGATATATATCCAATCCGTATAGCGGAAGTTCAGCGTTACAGCGTGATTGAAATTTAAAGGCAATGTTCCCGTGTTAGCAGAGTACACGGTACACGGTAAACGCAGCATATGTTGGCTCAATTGTAAATTATCTTTACATTTCTATCTGTTACAGAATGAATTGAGTCTGTTTTGTGTGGACCCGTCTTTGATAAATGAGGCCCCCTTCCATAGCCGTGGGAAGCAAGGGTGCTGAGGGTGCTGCAGCACCCCCCTGAAAAATCAGAAGAAAAAATATATTTAAAAAAAAAAACGTTTTTTCACAGAAATAGTGCACTGGGCCTTTAATAGTGCTGTATTAGCGGACCGATATAGCGTGTGTAGCGCATGCAAAAATATTTGTTCAGCTCCCCCCGACAAAACAATTACAATTAAAACGCCCACTCCCAAACTACTATGGCCTCCGCCCTCTGAGGTTCTCCTACACACCAATATACTTCCTTTATCTGTACATTCTATCTTATTCTTTCATCCTCACATCTTGATCGCTTCTCTTTTGCTCCTCATGAATTAAAAAATGATTCTATAAAGCATTTGCAGAGGTAACAATGTTTGAAGTGGAGGACAGATGGTGATTTATGACAATGATCTTAAGAATGATACCATCTGTCAGATGACCATCCAAAACACACTTTAGAGAGACATAAAATATTATTTTGACAGAACGGTGTAAAACAGTGACCTAAATAATGTCTCTCACAGAAGCTGGATAGACCATTTTGTGTGTGTGTGTGTGTGTGTGTGTGCGTGCGCTTGTGCGTATAAGCAGGCAGGAGCAAACTTCAAAATTCCTGCCATAAAGAATACTTGTTTTACAAATACTTGCGTTTGGATTTTTAGTGTTTTGAATTAACCCTTTTTATTATGAGTATACTATAGGTAAAAACATTTATGTGTGTGTGCATATGTGCGCACATCTGGTTGCATGTCTGAGTCCTTTAATTACCTTTCCTTTGGTGTGATCAAGAAATCATAAAGAGTCGTAAAATATGACAAACACTTGAAACCTCACAGACTAAAACAGACAGTCAAATACATGCACAATTAACATTTCACTATCCCTATAATGAAACACACTAACCACATGCTCAGGGTTGAGGTCATTTCCAACAGTCAATTCAGGAATTGAACTTATTCACTCACAGCAAATATTTGCTGTTCATCTCGTGCAGATGTCACGCTGCTTGCTTAGCGAGAACCACTTCCTCGTGATTCGGCTCATACTAATGCTCCAACCCAGGACCTCTGTCTCACAAACATACGTGACCGCCCTCCTGAAGCATCTTACCCTGTCACACCATTGAAAAGCTAGCTATTCGGCAGCGCAGGTGGAGACACTATAAGCTGAGCAGTGGGTTTCACAGATCCCCATCTGCTACACTAACCAATTCATGTTTAGACAGACTCTAGACAACTGTGAGAGTTGGTTGTCAAAAACAGGTGCATAAATTAACATCTGTTAATTCAAAGGTCGAACTTATGAAAAGTTTCAGCACTGTTTTCCATAGAGCACTTCCGCAACCTACCCTGCAAATTATTTTTAATCATTATGGCTGCAGTGTGAATAAAGTAAAGTGCATTTCAATGGAGAAATTCCATGTCAAATTCAAGCTATGAGTTTAACTGAAATTGACTTCAACTCTGTTGCACACATAAAGCAGTCACAACATAGCACGGGTACAACAAAGGCACAGGATTGAAGGAAAAACTCAGCACTCAACACAGGCACAGCACATGTATAACATATTTTGGACTTACAATGTTATTCCCTCCTCTAAGAAAGATGCATGCTGGTCCCAGATTCATGACCGAGAGGGTTAGGAGGAAATGTTTGTGTGTACTTTCTGTGTATGTGTCTTTCCTTTTAGTGCGTGAATACAGTTGTGTCAATAGTCTTAGTGAGTATGTGTGTACTTGAGGTCTGTGTGCTTAGGTTTGTCCCCTTTGTTTAAGTCTATGTGTTACTGTGTGAATGCTGCGTTACACCATCCTTTGGGTATCTCCAACACTAATCAGTTGAAATGTGTTGTGTGTACTGGTGACATAGAACTGAAGGTTTATGACAGATTACTTCAGTCTTCTTTATCTAGAAAAGAAGAAGAAAAATGCCATTGCTATTTACAATACAGATAGCTACACATGTTATTTCATTCTCCAACTCTGTATCATCAGGTTTTCTGGACATAACAAAGGGTGTCCCACAGGGATCAATTCTTGGTCCGGTTCTTTTCACTATTTACATTAACATTACTGGTTTATCTGTATGCAGATGGCACTGTGGTCTATGCTATTGCATAGCTGAACAGGTTCCGTCAGAGATTCAATCTGCCTTTATTGCCCTAAAGAAAGCCTTTGTTG